ACATTCGCACTTCAGTAATACCTTTGTATCTTAAAGAGCTTTAAAGCACGCAGTCTAGTACAACTTGAATGAAATGAGCAAATCCTACACCCAGATGTGAACAGGATATACCAGGTTAATTTAAGAAGTTCCTTGCCGTCGCACAGCAAGTCGGTGGCAGCAGTAGAATCCAGGAGTTCCAACTAGTGTAGCAAACTGTCTCCTCCCCTGGTCCTGATGTGCTGGGGGAAAAAAGTCTTGTGATCCCATACAGCACAGCGATGGTTAACATTTTCCCTCAGCAGTCTCTATCAGGCATTCAAGCAAAAGGAAAAAAAAAAAAAACAACTTAAGCTAACTGGTATATGCTGGCTATTTTATGACCGGCCTGTTCTTCTCCGCATTTGGTATCTTAAATGTCAGCACAAAACACTTGCCCTTTTTCCAGCAAGATTCAATGCCCAACACAACTTGATCACTTTGAACCAACATCAAGCAAGAAACTCCACTAGCCTGGAGTCTGGCATTAATGCCAGCCACGTCCTTAACATGAAGTACATTTTCCCCTTAAGACTGTCATGGCCACAGAAAAACACTGAAGTTCTTTGAGTGATTTCACAAAGCTTTACTCATTTCCACCTCTTCCATTTCCTCCTTCTATTCAACACTTCTGCAAACTAGCTCCCATTTGGACACCTAAACGAAGTGGGCAGACATTTTAAGTGGTCAGCACAGAGCAGCGTGCTGACAACTTAACAGCAGCTAGGATCCTTTGAAAATCCTTCTTTACAAAACTGCTGGTCATCTTATAAAACTTATTAAGAGACTCCATGAAATCAATGAGGTCTGCTTACATAGATAGCATGATATGGCCCTAAATGTACATGAAAATACAAGCATTTATATTTTTCCCTTTATTAAAAATTAATCCTTACCTACCAGTGAAAGAAGGGACTTCCAAACACCTAACCTAAATGCACAATAGAAAGGTGAAGCTCCGTATTTCCTTTAATAACAAATATTGTTCTCATCATGCCCTCAGCCATTTGTGCATTTACGAATGAAAGCACGACTGACAGCTGTCCCTGCATCTCACAGCTGGAAGTGCAGGACCAATACTGGCTCAGTTAATGTGCGATGAGGGAGAGCTGCAGTTAATACTGTTTATTAAGGTCCTCTTTCAAGGTCCTAGCAAGGCCCCTCTGGCAGAGGGAGAATACTAAAAAAACTTCCTATCTGAAGTGAAAAAGGCAAAAATGGAATTAAACATTCTTGGGGGAGAAGGCTATCGTGAAGAAGTAGAAATAAGAAATCTCATACAGCATATGCAGACATATACCAAGTGGATGTAGACACATTCGCTTTCAATTTCCTTTTAAATACCCACAATCATGCCCTTACTTCAGAAATGACTTCAGCACTTCCTAAACTTTACTTTCAATAGTAGCTTATATTCTAAACCAGTGGTGCTCAACCCTGATGGCCAGATAAGTAGCATGGGACCAGTCCACAGACTGGATCAGGCCCCCACCTACCTAGCTTGGGCCCCAGTGCCCCATGTTACCTTCACGCAGCCCCATAGGATTGGGCCCTGGCATCCCATGCTACCACCTCCCCACATATAAAACAGGTGACAAATAAAGAGAGACTAGAAGGCTTACATAAGGCAGTAGGCTAGTAGCAGAATGAAACCAATAAATCTGATTCTAAGGCAAAATTTTAAATTCCATCCCAACAGTACAATTTCTAGCCCTCATCTAAACTGGAATAAAGGGTATCTGAAAAGGTTTGATGGAGATTAGGCAGGATGAGAATCTGCTGAGCAGGAAGCCCAAAAGGAAGAAGAAAAACTGAAAAACCCACACGACAGGATGCAACGACTGAAACATGCCATCCCTCAGGCCTTGAACCACTGCCTCTGCCAAATGTTAGTATAACCAACCCCACCCTCTTTTGAAGCACTAACTTGGAAATTCCTGACCATTATGCAGACTGGCTATTTGGGTGAAGCACACGGGAATAAAAGAAATCATTGACAAATTGCTCAGATAACTTGGACACTGGATACCATTAAATCATAGCCTGACATTTAGAGTTCTCCTTAAACTGTACTCTGGGCACTGAACAGTTTCCTGTGCCTTCTTTCAGAAAGTTATTGAAAGGGGAGAGAAAAGATTTGAGCAGCTTTCCTGGTCTGATGCCGAGGCAACAAATGGTTTCAGGATCCTAAGTGCTTCCCTGAAAAGTGATTTCTGAGACCTACAAAAATGAGTGGCTTTTTCTCTCCCATTCCCTCCCCCACACCTTCAAAAAGAGCAGACTCCTAGAAGGCTCATGTCTACTTTCTCACTGAGAAGCTTCCATATTTATCTACAACAGGAAGGGTGGCACTTCCTGTAGACCTGGGACTACAGGCAAAAGATGGAGTAAAAGCCACCACAAACCCTCAGGCAGTCAGGACTATATTTTTTCATACAAAATGGTGGGGGTCCATTGTGTATATTTAAAAGAATCATTATGTGTATATCCTGGATTGTGTTTTTTAAAGGACACTAGGCAAATACTTTGAGATGGCAGCATCCCCTGAGCATACACAAAAGGGCTCTTTTGCAATACAGCATGTCCATGTTTATGGGTTACTGTCTCTAGGTGTTTGGAAGTTACAGTAAGGGAGGCAGTAGCAGAAGCTCAATTAGGGGCTCAAGCTTGCAAGGTGCTGAACTTGATGGCCCTGGTCCAGGAACCTTTGAGTATATGAGCCATCTTGTGGACATCTAGGCGACTATTTGCATGCTAAAACCAAAGCATGCACTGGATTTTTAAAGGTATTTAGGTGACTAAGCCTTTGGACTGGTGCCAGAGCACTCTGCACCTTGCAGGTTCAAGCTTACTGAATAGGTTCAGACCCAAACTGTATCACTGCTCTCATAAATCAGCTCGTCTCCTTCTGTCTCCTGAATGTAAGCAAAGTGTAATTCACACCTGGCATTAGAGGCTGCAGCCCTGATACTGCTGGATTGCCAGCTTCACTCAGGGTTGGATTTGGTCCATGATTCTTAACAGCTTCTCATCCCTCCACCCTGCCAAGCCTCACAGAGTCACCACTCTTCCCATCTCTTTGAGAGTCCACCTCTCTGGCCCTTTGAGCAACAAAACCAAGTCTCTCTCGCTTCTGAGCTGAACACAATTCTAGGAGAAGTTCAGCTATTTCTTTTCCATTCATGCGAAGTTTGCACTCTCTCCTCCAGAACAGGTATAGCATATGTGTTGCTGCAGTAGGGCCAGCTTTCCTCACCGTGCCCCACAGACTGACTTCAACCCTATCACGGAGCAGCACCCTCTCTGTCAGAGGGGAGTTCATAATCCACAGCCCTGTTCCTCTCTATTTCTAAGACTTAAATCCCTTTGTCTCCAAAGGACTCCTCACCTGTTGATCTCTGTCCTCCTCTCCTCCCACACTCTCTGGAGCTTGCCAAAGCCCCTCATCAGACAGGTCACCAATTCGTTGAGCTATGATGGAGAGAAAGTGTACAAGGCGGAAAATAAAAGGTGGGGGGACTCTGCGGAACCTACTCAAAAAATGGAGGGAGGATATCCTACAGGAGCAATTAGAGAAACAGAAGAAACAGGAAAGCAGAAAGTCACAAAAGCCAAAGGAGGGCAAGATTTCTAGAAGAACAGGGTCAATGGATGGAAGACAGCTTGCTAGGCCTCGGAGGATAAAATGCATGCTTTGCCTTTGGCCAGAAAGAGGTGATAAGAAATTCTGGTTAATGTGGCTTCAGTAGAGTGTAAGGAGTCAAAAATTGGACTGGACCAGATCATGGATGGAGCTGGGGGGAGGAACTCCAGACTGAGATGAAAGGGAGATGGCCAGAAAGACATGAGGGGACAAAAGGGGGAGAATTTTAAGATGGGACAAACTGAATCACATTTACAGAGAGGGGGGAGAGAGGAATGGGCATGAGCAAGATCCAAGGATGGGATGGAATCGCTGAGTAAGTGCAGAAGTCACAGGACACCAGGTAAGTAACTTCTGCACTTCAGATAGATGAAGAGAAGGAAGCAAAGGCAAGTGGAGGGGAGGGACAGATTCATATCTTCTTCTATCAATTTTGTTTCTTGGAAGAAACTGGTAAGACTCTACACAGAATCTTAGAGGCCCAAGAGTGAGCAAAAGCAGTAAAAACACTGGGACTGAGGACGTCGTATTACTTTAATGTCAGAGTAGCAGAACTGTTTAGTGAGGAAAATGACCAAACTGAACAAGAAGAGACTATTCTGTAGTGGAGAAAGCCAGCTTGGTCACAGGATTTTCACCAGAGAGACTCCACAATACAAGAGGAGGGCAGAGGCAACGGATGTTGGAGGTGGGAAATGGAATCAGTGAGGGGAAGGGGTGGGCAGAAGGAAGAAGGATGGATGCTATGGCAATCAGCATATAGAGGTGAAAGTCAAAGAGACAGGCTATGAACAAGGCAGGTCCCATGCTAAGCAGGGAAAAGGCAGGTCCCCGTCCCTGTCCTTCTCCCTGGCAAGAGGAGGAGAAGAGCAGCCAGGCTCTGACCCAGCCCATATGAATGAGGAAAAAAGTTATTGTAGAGCTACATTACTCACAACATAGCTTTGACAGAACTCTTGGCAATGTGTGAGCTGAATTCACTTGCTATTATTTATAAGACTGAGTCCAGATCTGAATTTCTGCCAAATTCAGGGGATAACTGGATCTGGGACTTCAGCTCAAACCTGTTTTAACAGATGATGAAGACAAGAGGCAAATGCAGTGAGGCTGCCCAAAGAATGACGAACGCTTTTCCAAGCAAATATAAACTTGCAGCTTATCTGAACACCTTTTGAACCAGTGTAACTAACCAATGCAATGCAATTTAATGCAGTGCAAATTAAACCTCTCAAAGACAGCATGTTTCTCACTCACTTTGCAAAGGGTGAACCACTGCCCATTCCCCTTCATTAATACATACACTGAGCTACGCTCAGACATACTCCCCCAGTGAGCTTACCTCTTCCTCCAGTTTCACCACCTTGGCCTGCGCGTTGTTTAGGGCCTGGTCTCGAATCTCAATGTGCCTCCGCTGATCCTCATTAGTGGAGCGTGCAGCAGCTAGTTCAATCTCCAGTTTTTCCTTCTCCCTCTGTGTTTCTTTATCTATATATATAAAAATAGAGTGGAAAACATGATGTGATCTCAAAACGAACACAGCCTTCTCTGACCAGACTCATATGAGTGGGACAGTCCCATAAATTCCACAGTAAAGAGGAGTTCCCAGGCCACTGCGTACCATTATCTGCATTCACAGGCAACCACTTGCCCAAAGGGAAGATGGGACCTTTGCTAATACCAGATGAATCTCTGGGAAGAAAGAGGGCAAAGAGAGCACTACAGACAGAGATGAAAAAGAGGGACTTTTCGGTAAATAGGTTCTGTTAGGTCAGAAGTGTCAAACTCACCCCATACCCTGGGCCTGATTCAGCCTGTGGCATGGGGTTGTTCAAGGATGCACAGGGGCAGTGATGGTAGCAGTTCCAGCTCAGACACGGGGCACATGGCCACAGCAGAGACAGCTCCAGATCCCACAATGCGCCTGTGCCAGAACCAGAACTGCTGCCCTTGTTGCATGCCCTGTGACACGGTGGCAGGGCTCACAGCTGAGGAGACAGGACAACAGCAGTGGTGATGGGTGGAGTGGATGGAAAGCCAGTAGGGCTGCACCGGCCTTTGCTCAGCCTCCTCCTGCCAATGTCTGCCTTTCTGTCGCAGACCACACCCCCAACTTCCCATAGCAGCAGGCAGGATAGAGTGGTTCCACAGGTTGGAACCAGCCCACAGGCCATACATTTGACACCCTTGAGTTAGGCTGTGTCCTACCTACGTAGCTAGATAGCTACTGGGACACAGTGCCTTGTACTTGTAGCTAACAGAATCAAAGTCAGAGAAAAGCTGATATCCTTAGAAGCTAGTAACACCCCAGGTTACTGAGTAGACAATAGTAAAGGTGCATCATGGAGCTGTCTGGTTTTATTGCAAGGCTTTGCTTTTCTGCTTTGCTTCCCCATGATAAGCCTGTTTTCAATAATGACAATGTAAAAACACAAATAACCCAACCAGTCCATGTCAGTTCAGCTACTGGTGGGTCAGCACCATTGTCATACAAGCACCATGCTGACTGGCCCCCTTTGCTGGCATTTTCTTCTGAGGCATGAGCAATAAAACTTTCTCTGCTGCCTCCAGGTAAAGCAGTGGACCTGTGCCATCAGTGCTTCAACTGTCCTGTACTCTGAGATCACAAGTCACCTCTCTCTCTCCAAAGCTTTGTACAAACCTACTCACTTGTACTGAAAACCCCCTTGTCAATTTTTTAAAGCCAACGCCTGATGCAGAAATTCAGTCCAGGTTCTATGCTGTGCCAAAGGCTGGACTAGATTATCTTAACTCCTTCTTAGTCCCCACATTCAGTAAGCAGTGTCTTACTGAATGTGTCTTGTCTTCATCATCTGTTAAAAAGCTAGCTTTCAGCTTTTTAACAGATAGAAACAAAAAAAGCTAATAGCTTTTTAAGTTTTTTAACAGAGAAAGAGAAAGCTATTAGCATATCAGTGTCTAAGTTAGACACTGATATGCTAATAGCTGGGCTATTTCTTGGCTGCTTAGCCCTCAATGCAGTGACTAACCAGACACAAGATCATGCTGCTAGCAATGGGGCAATACAATGGGAGCAATACTGTTACCTAAAGATGCCAGACTGTAATTTTGGACTTCAAGTTTCTATTTTTTTCCTCTCCTTAGGAAGGAAATGCTCTTTGACACAATTGAATGCATATTTTTTTCCTCAGACCTCTAGACAGATGGTTCATACCATTCCTGACTCTTTCACGTTGCAGCTTGAGCAGATCTGTTATGTTGGAAAATATCATGTCACACAATGGATGGTGTACAGGTTTAGCCATTACCAAGAAGGCCAGGAGCAAGTATAGATACATACATGCACACACGCTCAGTAGGCAGTGGAGGTCCTCAACATGGGGACAGTGGAGTTTAGAATAGATAAGGCTGAAACCATTCAGTACAACATGTCTGCTCCATTCAAGCTGCCACCCACAAAACACCTGGATTTTGTGAGTGTCTTAAAGCATTTCCATTCACAAAGCAACTACTTTTAGTAAAAATAAATGGGATAACATAAGGACAAGGAAAACCAGTGCGAACATGTAAGCAAGCCCACAAGCAAAGCTGGAATGCAGAGCAGACGTCCTCTGTGGAGTTGCTGCCATTCCCAGCAGTTCTTGCAAACCACTTGCAATGGTAGCATTAACTCATCTACTGAATACATAACTATGAAATACTCCCCAGAGCAATCTACACCCAGCACTGATGACACCAGAGAAACTGCATTCCAAAAACTTAATATCCCACGACAAAGGAATGAGGACAAGGAGTGGAAGGCCTGAAAAACAGGAACCAGCTCCTGGCTGCACAGAGGGGTTACATTGCCTTTCTTCTGCTGGGAAGAGCCAAGTGCAAAGCCCTAACAGCACATAGCAACTACAAACTCCGTTCTGCAAGAGGATTGAAACAGCCCAAACTGGTTGCAAAGGAAGAGGGGGAAGCTGGCCAGAGCAGCCAAGATGAAGACTGCCAACTCAGCATATCCCCAGATCAGCCTCTGTCAAGGGGGGAGACCTGACTGCACCTTTTAGAGCTGGCTTCTGCAGGCAGAAACCCTGAGGCACAGTAAGTGGTGGTATGGGCCTTTCCTACAGCATTGGGATCCAGTATTGCCACCTGGTATTAAACTACCTGCTTGTACAGGCCTGGAGGAGTGTGGTCTACAAACTCACATGTATGTGGCCAAATGCTGCTGCTGTAAAAGTTGATTAGTTTTGCTATTAACTTTGGTGAGAACTTCCATAAGCTGAGGTCATTGCTTGCACGAAGGGGCTCACTGAAAGCTTCTCACCCATGTGGTGCACTGCCCTGTCCCTCTATTTTAGGGTCTCTCTGCAACCTACATCTGAGGAACATGCATTTCTCTGTGGCAATTTTTCCCCCTCAATTTTATAGCATCATCTTTTATTTAATGGAGAATAGTGAGCTCTTTCAGAAGGGTGGAGTGCACTGAGCAATCAGGAGGAAGGTTGACTCACTGTCATACACCTCAAGATATTTCAGTACAGGGGAAAGGCAAAAATCACTTACCTGTAATTTTCGTTTGTCCTGTGGTGGATCCATTGCTTTGGACAGAAGTCATGACCCTTAAGTATCTCTGCCCAGACAGCTACACAGAGGACCCCATTTTTTAAAACTATTGAGACCTACCTACTGGCCTGTTCACTGAACCAAATGCATCAATGAGGGACTTCAGAAAAAACTGTGCCAATAAGAAGTAGAGAGGAAAGAGCTAAGGGGATCTAAAGCCCCCCTTTACTCAGCTCCTCCACAGCCTCCTCCACACTCTTGCTCAACTGTGAAAGACAGACACAAAGTGCCTCTTCAGGCCACAAAATAGATGCTGAGTTGCAGACTCAGTAGACGGTGGAAGTCCTTAAGGTCCTCCCCGCCTAGGGCTAAAGAAACCTACAGAAAAAGCAGCATACGAGCTGAAAGCAGGTGAATGGTGCTTGTTTTCCAATCTTTCCACTTGATATGTGTCATTCAATGAATTTTATTTACTGATAGAAGGAAAATCCTGAATTCAACCTCTTCTTCCACTAGCAGTTTCAGACTATCACCTCCTTACATGGCTCTCCTCACCACAACAGCTGAGCACAAGATAAGACAGGCTGATCTTCATGTGATGAAGTAAGCACTCTCCTTATGAAAGCATATGCTACGTATCTCCAACTGAGTTAGTCTACAAAGGTGCAAACGTACCCTACTTTCTGCCTGATTTCAGACTAATGCAGCTACCTACCTCTCTCTACGGTGCATGACAGTACTCCATTTTTACCTGAGTAAAAATGCACTTTACGGTGCATTTTACTAGCTAGACCACAGTGAACATCTGACTCACTCTGTGCAAAGAGTTGAGAGATGGTTTTCCGATTGTCTTCAGACCCCTCAAATTCCTTCTCTGCAAGCTGCTTGTTGGCCGTCTCCATACGCTCTGCAGAATTTTTTAAAGAGGAGAAACAACAAAGAATGAAAAGCTTTCAGGCAAACTTTCTGAACTTGCTTTGTAAGTTGCATCCACTGGGGACACTTGTAAAAACGAGTTCAGTGCTCAGCACTTTTAGTTCTAAATAATCAGAAGATTTGAAATCAGAGGGAAATGAAATTGCATGAAATTTGCAGATAGTATTATAATCAGAACGTTCAAAGCTCTTATAAAAACATTCTGGTGTATTCTAAAGGTATGAAACAAAAAACGGTATAGAAATTATTCCAAAAAAACAAAGTGTGAGAGGCAGCGGGTTTTTTAAAAATGTTTCTACAGATGTACTGAATCGCTCCGTTGAAGTCTATGAAAGGGAGATAATTTTCTGGGAAGCTTATACAAGAGGACTAGAGAAACCTACAGAAAATACCCGTTTTGTATGAATTCTAGAAGGCTTGTCTAAGCAATTAAGAGATTCTCCCTAAGGCTTCCATTAAATCTTAGGAACATAAGCTGGAAAATAAAAATCACTAATGTCTCTGATGCCTTATCTGACTTCAGAAAAATTAACTGCCCCAACTGCAGGTGTATATTTGTCTCGTTAGTTCTCTAACAGAAGATTCTATCAATCCATGAAAATTATTAACTAACTGCTGGTAATATCTGATTTAGTTTATTACAACCCTTACATGAAACCTTTTGCTTTAATATTGGGTACTGCGTGGTCTTAGACTGGAACTCAAAAGACTTCCCCTGTTAATACCTAGGGATTGCGGCTTTAAACAATTAGAGGCTGAAAGGACAGCAAAAGCAGAAGATATTCATGGGAATTGGAAGGTGTTTACAGAAAAAGCAGATTGAATTATTCTGATTGCATGCCCCTAAAAACACAGCTGGCTTTCTCTCTCTGTCATTTTAGACTCAAACCCCATTCAATGCCAGTCTCAATTTCCAGCCATTGCGCTACTGCAACTTTTTAGCTAGAAATAGATGCATTCTTCTCGGGGACCAGAACAAATTGCTACCTCCATTGATGAGTAGTGTTGAGAAACTGCACGAAGAGTGGATAGTCTGAGAGTCAGTGTGGAGGGGTTGCCGGATAGGAGATAAAAAGACCATGCAAAATGGGCAGTCAGTAAAGTGTTTTTCAATTATATTTTAAAATGTTTATTCACAGAGATGCACCAATATATTGGTTCATATATCAGCACCGATAAAAGGAAAATTGACATTACCAGTAATCGGCTTTTCTTGGCTACTGGTATCAGCCAAAAAAATCATTATAGGTGCACCCCTATTTATTAGCTATAACATGAGAAATAATTCTAATGTTATGCCCTAGTTTGGGCTTGGCTGGATTTTTTTCCCCCCACCTTTATAATTAGAGAGGCTGGAAATCAGATGCTGCAGCAATCAACCAAACCTCGCCTTTCTACAGTCCCAGCAATTTGCTGACAACCCTAGACAGCTGAGAATACCTGGTGCATCATGTCATGTTCTGTAAGTGTCAGCCAACACAAGCAAGTCCAGCAGCAAAACTCTCACCAGTCAAGTACAACATGAAGACATGAGGAAATGGTATGCATTTACCTCTCAGGTCCCTGTTGAAATCGTGAAGCCTACGGATTTCTCCTTCCAGCTTGTTTCGCATGGCCTTTTCCAAGGCATCCCGCTTAGAGGAGGACTTTTCTAGGTTTTTGTAGGCCTCTGAAACTTGCTGAATTTCTGTTTCCAGCTGCAGTGGAAATGGAAGCATGCGATTTAATCAGCAATAATGCCTGGCACTTAAGATATGTGTTTCTGTCTAGGTTCTCAAAGTGCTTTAATGAATAAATATTTTTCAGCCTCAAGTGAGGTAAAGCATGATTACATCCATATACCAAGGAGGTAAAACTGTGGCCAAAGTAAACTGCAATGTATCCCAGATCTCACAGAGCAAGGAATAAAGATTTAGAGCCCAGTCTTCCAAGGCCTGGCTCTAACCACTTTTCATTAGTGCAGGAAAATTGACTTACAAATAAAGCTGCGCCAAAAAGTACTAATATCAGGTTGTAACTTACTGATGAGATTCACTAGACTGCATTCATTTATGGGCTTAACAATCCAGAGCTGGCACTGAAAAAATGGAAGTATAGTCTAGAAAACTAAAAAGGGTTCAGTCTCATTAGGTCTTCAGTTTTCAGAATGATTTGTTAACAATAAATATGCTTTCCTCAGTCCGTCTACCTTGCATGGTAAAGCCTCCAGTTTGCTCTCTGAAGGAAAGAGCTAAACACCAGAGACAGAAAATAATTCACTTCCACTTAACCGAAGCTGGCTGTGTCTCATGTCACTGTGGCAGTAAGGATCTACCAAGAAGCAGACACCACCATTTCTATCTTTAGCAAGGAGTCAGCTGGGTAAGGGGACAGAGGGGAGTTCCTTTGTTATCAGGAAGCTGTCATGTATTTCACTAAATCACTTCCCTCATTGCAACCTTCCTAAAAATGAACAAACCGACCTGAACAGAAGTCACATAGGAAACAAACTGGTGGGCAGAAATACTCAAATGCAGAACAAAAAGCAAGAGCATTGTAACAGCTGGGAACTGCTAGGGCCCCACAGGCTGTTCAGGGGTCAAAGAACAGTTCAAAGCCTACAGACACCTAAACTACAGTCAGTGCTCAACTTCTCCCTTACAGCTCCAGGGTAAAGGTGATTCTCACTAGGTCTACGTTCTAATTGCTGGTGAACTCATTAGACAACAAGTCATTTCTGCGAGTCTTTCATGGCACAGCCAGATGCACGTCACTGGCAATACGTTGGGGGAACACAGAGGGTACGTGCCCCCCCTCCCAGATTTCTGCGCTGATGGTGGGGCACGGGGCTGCAGCCCAGCCAGAGCCAAGACCTGGCAGCAGCGGGGCCTGGTGCAACTTCTGCACTGACCAGAGGGAGGGGTGCAGGGTGGTAGCCCAGTTGGAGCTAGCACCCAGCAATAGCTCTGAGTTGTATCCCTCCCCACTGTCAACATTTATGCATCATCAGTGGTGCAAGTATTACTGACAATTCTAGAAAGAGTTATGAAAAAGTATGTGCCAGCTTGATGCCAAGTGTTGTTCACTCCGTTTAATGAAGCAAACAATCAGCTTCATACCACGGAGACAACTAGGATTATATTACTTGTGTTGCGTTTGGGGTTTCAGCTATACCCTGAAAACTTTGTATGTCCAGATTTCTTTTAGACACATGGGCACACCACAGGAAACTAGCTGTGCAAGTTTCTCTCACTGTCTAGTCAGCTAATTTTGAAGGGACCAACTCAGTTGCTGGCCTATGTGATCTTTAGAGCTCTCATGACCGCACTGTCTAAGCCTTTTCAATATAATAAGAACATCAAGCCTGCAGCTGTCTTGCAGTCCTGGTTCTAGCTGAGAAAACTGCCCAAACCACTAGCCTCTCCAAGGCAGCTGATGAGGCTGCCAATTGAAATGTGGCCAGTTGCCTACTTGAGAGTAGAACCGAGGCCACTTGCTCTTTACATACAGGCCAACAGACTGCTATCATGTGATGAAGCTGAAGACACCACTGACACAGGATGAAGAGCTCTAGAGCAGGTAACTAATCTTTTGAATTGGCTGCAGTCATTTGCTGGAGAGTGATTTTTAATTGCAGAGAAGACTTTCAGGGCCATGCAACACCTACCTTCTGTAACCTTGCTACCTTCTCATAGCACCCATCCAACTCCTGCCGTAAGGATCGGTTCTCCTCTGACAGGATCTCCACCATCTGCTGGGCCCTGGAAACAATGGCAAAAGGATCCACTTGCATCTGCTGATAAGGAGAAGGAATCTGCTGAGCTCTTGACATTAGTGAGTAGGAATCTCCTTGTTGCTGCTGCTGGCCTAGAATAGGTTGACATAGTCGATAAAGATCTCCCTGATGGACCTGATTTGACATGAATGGTGGCTGGGTCCGTGGTAGAAGGCCTGAGTCTCCCTGGTTTGAAGTAAGGGGTTGCTGATGCTGAGAAGGAGACAGTCTGGATGGTGGTGGAGACTGTAGTAAGGTCAAAGATCCCAAGGACGTTAAGGAGGAAGTTGGGCTGTGATGGTGAGGTGGCCTCTGCTGTAACTGCATCTGTACATCGGGGTTTAGCCTGTGAAATAGTAAGCACAAGCTCAGCTGAAGCACAGCAGATAATTACATATGAACCAAACAGTACAGTGAGGTGATGAATGCATGTACATATAGAGCGACTATTGATAGGATGTCCTGCATGCAAGCTTTTACATGCATTTTTTCGTATTTAAAATGTTTGCATAACAGACTCCAAAACTACTAAGCAGCTATGAGAAAAAGAACCTAAACTTAATGGTTCTTAAGTACATTTTATACAGAGGCAGTAAGAGAAACTCTGATACCCATTTCATCCACTGATCAAGAGGGATGACTGCAATTTACAATATATTAGCAAAGTATTAAAAATCAAATCTGTAAAACTGCAGGAGAAGAAACTATTTTCTAAATGTTCACTTTTCCCTGCTTTTGTAAGTAAATTGAATTAAGTTGAGGGCAGTTCAGAACGGACTGGGTCAGGCTGTACCTAAGGGCACTATTTCCACAGCAAAAGCCCTGCCGACAAAGAATATCCTTCTGAAATTCAGGATAGAGATTTAAATGAGTAAGCTAAAGTCTTGCTTATTGCTGTTGGCTGATATGTACCAAAATGCCAACTAAAGACCATCAGCCTTGCTCAAGGAAAGAGGTAAAAGGATGTGACAGACAACCTAAAAGTTAATATTAGAATACAGAACCAGAAGTCTTCTCAGCCCTGGATAATGGGCATCTTTATTGCTCCCAACACCCTAATATGTGAGCATAATTCACTGGTGAGAGTGTGCTGACAGATCTACCTCGGCACACAATCCATAGAGGATACCACAGCTGTGGGAACAGCTGGAGAACTCTAACTCAAGATGCAGCAGGTCAGGGTTTTAACTCTGGAGATTCTTGGTTCAGTTCCCGGTGTGCTGGACAAGATGGCTGTTATCACCAGCAGATCTACTGTCTGCTCACCCATGGAGGAGCGAATGTCAGAGCTTTGTTCTCCCATGGTCCTCACTTACTGGCATGTGGAAAAGCACTGGCAGCTGCACTCAGGACCATGCCCTGTCAGGGAGGAAAAATCTTCATAAGGTTATATTGATGTGTGTTATTGGAGAGGTAGGAGGGAATAAAAGGTGAGGAAACTGGAGGATTCCCTCCTCACATATGTGCAGAGTCCTCCTGAAATTACATGTGAAGTTCCAAGGACATATTCACAACCCAGGGCTCTTCCTAAATACAGACACTGGCCGTGGCACAAGTGCAGTCTATTTACTATTCTGTACAGTCTTCCAATTCTTCTGATGTAACTGAACCCTTAATTGCTGCGGCTCAAAAGCACAGCTGGACTGGATTTGCTATCTTCTGTCAGGTGTAGCTAGGCAGAAGACACCTGTTATGCTGCTGCCTGGCACTGCTGAAGGTATTGGAAACCTCAAGGGGAATGGTCACACCAGGCCCTGGAGCTGGCCTGAGCCTGCTGCACTGCAGAATTCACCAGGCCTGGTCTCAAACTGCAATCCAGCTGCAACGCTTCTTGACCACAGCCAGCGCTCCTGTGGACTAGACACTAAAGGGTTACGCGTAAAACTTATCAGAGGATGCATGAGTGCTCAGCATTGGCCTTCCTGTGCTGAATGGACTAACACATCAACTCTTCGTACTCATCCAAAAAGGAAACGTCTGTGTTAATCACATCTTGCTGGCAACATGTTTCAGAGGTCACACATTGTGGGCCTCTGCACAGGACTGACCGTCTCAGGGTTACACATCCTGTGCCTCTCCCGACAAACATTTACCACTCTATCCTTGCTCACACACGACTGGCTGCTTTTGTTACATGTCATTACTAGGACTGTGGGTCAGAAATCCACTAGTCTGGTTCTCAAGTTCCCTACACACAGGGCCAGAGACACCTCCCTGTCGCTTCAGCGAAGTACCAGTCTCTTTTATTCCACCCTCTAATGACTATGGTACTTACTCGTTGCCAGCCACATTATTGCAAGGAATGTGTTTCCCCAGGAGAGGTCAGATGCCACATGTGGTTCTCAGGGGTTGGTGGGAGAGAGGAGATGTGCAATTAATTTCCTCAGGAATGTGCAGGTCAGATGCAGTGTCTGGCTGTTTCTCTGCTGGGAGGGGACTCTTTTTTGCTTCTTTTCAAATCCGAGGTAAAGAGTGCTAGTGGCTTGCTCAAGGTCACTCGCTGAGTCAGTGGTTCAGTCAAGAGAGAAACTCTGGATCTTCCTATCATCCAGTCCTGTTCTCTATCCACTACAAAGAGGAGGAGGATGCAGCCCCTTGCGGTCATTTAAAATGAGTCCTGATACCTCACAGAAAACTGAAAATATGCCAAAGAGAAGCAAAAGCATGTTGCTGATGTAGATAACTTTCAGCTATGTCTATGAAGTTACCACGGCACATTAAGATCTAATTTTGCCGCTTTAGACTTCACCGGTTCCTGGACCTTAGTCCCCAGGTGACATCATACTCTTCTGTGTGATGTCATGGTGCTTTCCAAAGGAACGGTGCTGTGACAACCAACCTATGCTGACTGACAGAGGGAGCAGCCCTCGTGCTTACGAGGAAAGCCTTCCAGTTGTGAATGGACGCAGCACCGTCTGCCTGAGTCTGCAGACAGCCGGCAGCCAAACCGTAACTGTTGCACGCCACCTGCCTGCGTTTCAGCCTTGTGACTGGTTAACGCTGCACGCCTAATAGAGGTCATGGAAATGTCAACTCTGTTTACAATTTCAGTGCCATGTATTTGATTAGAAGCCTCTCGTTACTTTGCAGGGGGGAGCAAAGTTGGGGAAGAGTATTACCATTACCCCCCATGACCTGAAGCCCGAGGGCAGGCAAAACAAGCACCGAAAGCAGGCGAGTTCCCGAACAACAACAAGTTGCTGCGCAGGTCTTCACAATGAGTATAAATAATCTTTTAAAATCATTCTGGTCTTGTGCATTCAACCCATGGCCTGGAAGTTGGACACATTTGGTTGTACTACCTGCTCTGATGCAGGCTAGATGAATGACTTCAGTCAAGTCCCTAATTCTAAGTGCCTTGGATACCATTTGTAAAATAAAGGGGTGGAATACACCTGTCTTTAAATACTTCCATCATAATCTAATTGTGACAGCTAGCCATAACATTTCCAAACCTTACTGGAGCTTTGAAACCTCTATATGGAAAACACCATATACAAGTTCAAAGTGGTATTCAGTGTTGCCAAGTCTCACAATTTTACCTTACAATATTTGGTGTTTTCCTTGGACTCCAGTTCTTGGATTCCTCAGATTATGTCAGAATCACAGTTCCACTTTTAAAAAAGGATGCAAGTCTCCTATTCCTTCTAATTATGGAAACACGCTTGAGAATCAGACCTGAGTGAACTCTAGAGGCTTAGAAACCAGAAAAGAAACACCATGGAACTCAATGGATGAGGTTTCACAATGTCAATTTCACAGTGTTAAAGCTGAATTCTTGATGTTTTTGAAGCCCAAATTGTTGTTTGACATTTCAGAGCCATCCGTACTTTTATTAATAGCATACAAGAGAAACATCCCTGTAAAAAGACTACAGCTATCCACATAGCTTTGCAGTGTTAAAACTAGTTATTATAAAAGATTTATTATAATCATTATATAATTATTACAGTAATAAGACTAGCATTGCTTCACACAACCACCCACTATGTTCTAGGTGCAATCCAAACATTCAAAAAGGTGCTCACAATCTATGTAAAATTTTATATATATATATATA